AGGAGGTGTTCTCCTAGGCTGCGAGTAGGTAGGACTTGTTTCCCACCAGTGTCGAGGAGATAGCAACGGATTACATTGTAAGTCTAGCGCTGATTGGAATGATGACTTGATAATATATTGGTTGATTGATGTTGGCGGGGGAAGGGGGGGGGAAGGGGCGAGTTTCGGGGTGAAGCAGAGAGGGTCGATTGCCATTAGTGGAAGATATAGCTAGGTCGATTTTGAGCCGTACTTATCCTGCAATCGGTATCAGTCAATCAATCAATCAATCAAGAGAATTCCTTCAATTAGTCGACTAATCACTCAAGGAGTCGAGCAATCAATCTCGAAATCTATTTATTCTGGCGCGTGAGCATCGGGAGAAGAACCTTCCTTGTTGATTCGCTCGATTATCTCTCGCTTTCTGCATCCCAGCTCCTTAGTAGAAAAAGGCAATCAGACATCGAGAGGAGTGTTGCATGCTTCCTTGTTGGCGGTCGCATGTTGAGAGAGAGAGAGGAGAGAGAGCGGTGGTTGTTGTGTGCAGTGTAGGTGTGTCTGTTTGCCACCATCTCTCTGAACGCTACAGCTTCTCACTAAAAGAAGCCAATCTCTTTCCTTCCTTTCCCCATCGCTAACCCTCTCTCCTCTCTCTCCTCGCCGTCGTTGCCTATTTGTCTTGCCAGCTCTAGGAGATTCTCTCTCTCTCTCTCTCTCTCTCTCTCTCTGTCTTTTCTCTGCGTCTTTACTGTCCGCAAGAAGCATTCTCGAATTACATATGTTGTTGAAGTAATGGGAGAAGAGAGGAGGAGGGAGGAGGATTGCATCGTGCTTGCAGTGTGGAAGGGAAGGACGTTGACAGGAGGGGAGAGAGAGAGGGGAGGCAGTGGGAGAGAGGTAGAGGTGCTCTCGTTCTCTCTCTTTTTCTCTTTTTCTTTTTCTCTTTTTCTCTCTCTTTTGTTAGTCTAGAAAGAGAGTAGTACATCCGTTTTACGTTAGCGCGCGGTTTTGTGCGGGTATAAGGGGGAGGCACTCCCGTACTGCTTTTGTGCGGGTATAAGGGGGATGCTCTCCCATACATATAGACTAATACGTATACATAGAGGATTATAAAATACGTAATTACACTGTAGATATTCGGTAAATATGACATAAATATATTTTAACACATGGATGTGAATGATAATATGATATTAATACATACATTCATACATATTTCACACTTATTTAAGCGTTAAGAAGAACGAGGAGGAGGAGGAGGAGGAGGAGGAGTAGGATAGGAATATTTGCAAGAAACCGGGTAATCCGTCCCTGCCGTAGGGTGTACAAGAAGCGGTACAAGAAGCGGGAGGAGTGGTTTGGGGGGGGGGGAGGAGATTAGAGGGAGGAAAGAGAGCAGTAGGTAGCTATCCAAGGGAAAGTCAGAAGGAAGAGGAGGGTCTTGTAGAGACGTTCTCGTCATCCCTGCTTAGCCTATCCGTTGCTTTGAGAGCGGGACAAACTCTCTCTACTCCCTACGTTTCATATCCTTACCTCTACTCCCTACGTTTCATCTCCTTACCCACTGCTCTGCAAGTTTCCACGTTCATAACGTACTGCAGAACTGTTCCTCTGTGTGAGTGAGAGAGAGAGAGAGAGAGAGAGAGAGAGAGAGAGAGAGAGAGAGAGAGAGAGAGAGAGAGAGAGAGAGGGAGGTCAGAATTATACTCCACGTTCATGACGTTCAGCCGAACTGTTTTAGTACCTGACTTGGCGTTGCTCAGCTGCGAGGCACAAAGAGAGAGAGAGAGAGAGAGAGAGAGAGAGAGAGAGAGAGAGAGAGAGAGAGAGAGAGAGAGAGAGAGTTTATCGTGGTGGAGACACATGGCGGTATCTCTGACCAGCGGGGAAGAACGTAGAGGGCTTTGCGGTTTTCCTCCAGGGGGAAGCGGGGGGGAGGGGGGGAGGGTGGTGTGGTTCGATACTGTGACGGTGGACGTGCATGCGCAGGCGTGCGCAGTAGGGAAAATGAAGGGGGGCAGTAGGGACGGAGAAGAGGCAGAGGGAGGGTGGGAGGTGGAGGTGTTGGGGCAATGAGAATGCGGCTTACTTCGAGGCCCACGTTGCGGTCTTGCTCGATTTGTTGTTGCAGGAGTTCTGAGGAGGAAGAGGACGATGAGGATATTGCCTTGCCGTAGTAGTAGGTAGAAGAAAGCCGTGCTCGATTGATTGATTGATTGATTGATTGTCGGTTATAAAACAATTCTATTCTCTGCGGTTGGATTATTTTGGGGGTTTGGAAGTAGATGTTCGAAAATAGAAGCACAGCTGTTTTGGGGGGAACTCGTGTATTCCAGTTGGCGGAAGGATTTTTTGGCGCGTGCTGTTTGGAAGACGCCGCGCCCTTTGACTGTGTCAAAAGCGGTTTTGGTGGGAAAGATAGTCTCATTCTTCTCATTCTCGTTCTCGTTCTCATTCTCATTCTCATTCTCATTCTAATTATTTTTGAAATTTGAATCCTTGAAAAAAAAAAAAAAAAAGGAAAGTCCGCCGTGCGAAGTCGAAAATATGGCGGGTTCGTACGCTAATCCCCTGCAATTGGTGGGGGGGGGGCTCCCCTCTGTTTGTGAAATCATCGCTGAAATCGAGCAGTTCCACCGCCGGGGTAAGGTTTAGCGGTGTGGAATCAGTGGGGGGAGGGGGGGAAGGAGGGGGGGAAGGAGGGGGTGAAATAGGTGGCGGGCAAGCAGGAGCAATAGGAGTAGGAGGAGGGGGAGGAGGAGGAGCAGGAGCAGGAGCAGGAGCAGGAGCAGGAGCAGGAGGAGGAGGGCGGCGAGAAGCAGCAGCAATTCGAGGAGCACCAGCAGGGGCAGGAGGAGGAGGAGGAGGTAGTTGCTCGTTTGCCAGCCCGCCTCTTACGGGTCCTCTTGATGCTCCCTCCTCCTCCTCTGGCTATTTCGGGGGAGGAGGAGGATTAGGATTAGCAGGAGGAGGAGGAGGAGGAAGTATGATTAAATCGAACTCCTTCCCATCTGATGACCATTCGGATGCTCCATCTGTTGTCCAAGATCGTCTAATTCTGGTCTCTCACATGCTCCCTCTCACTATGACCCCAGTGGAACTGGTAGGCGGCAGGTTTTGCTGGAAATTTGAGGCGAACCGAGAGGCCCTCCCTCTTCAGATCTGTGACGGTCTTCGATTGGGCGATTTTGGAGCCACAGGTTCTGCTGTTCCTCCTCAGCAGATGGATATGGAGGTAGTTTATGTCGGCTGTCTGAAGCAGGAAGTGGATGTCAAGGAGCAAGACGACATTGCCCGGGCGCCTTACGACCAATTCCGCTGTGTGCCCGTCTTTCTACCCGACGAGCTGCTCACCAACTTCTACAACAAGTTCTGCAAGCAACACCTGTGGCAGATGTTTCACTACATGCTACCGATCATACCAGAGCACTCCGAGCGGTTCGACCGCAATCTGTGGAGCGCGTACGTCGTGGCAAACAAGCGATTCGCCGACAAAGTTATGGAGATCATCGATCCGGATGAGGATTTTGTGTGGGTGCATGATTACCATTTGATGATCCTGCCTACCTTCTTGCGAAAGGCCTTCCACAAGGTGAGATTAGGCTTCTTCTTGCACAGTCCCTTCCCCTCGTCGGAGATATAAAGGACGCTGACGGTGAGGGACGAAATCCTGCGGGCGCTGCTCAATGTGGACTTGATTGGATTCCACACGTTCGACTACGCGCGGCACTTTTTGTCGTGTTGCAGCCGGATGCTAGGGCTGGTGTTCAAGTCCAAGCGAGGTCACATCGGTCTAGAGTACTACGGGCGCACGGTGGTGGTAAAGATCATGCCCGTCGGGGTGGACATGCCTCTGTTGAAGGGGACCCTAGCCCATCCCGACACAATATGGAGGATAGGAGAGCTGAAGAGCGAGTTTGAGGGGAAGATTGTGTTGCTCGGCGTGGATGATATGGACACGTTCAAGGGCATAGGGTTGAAGTTGCTGGCTATGGAACATTTGCTGCGCGATCATCCTGAGTGGCGTGAGAGGAAGGCGGTACTCGTGCAGATTGCCAATCCCGCCAGAGGGACGGGGAACGACGTCACGGCGGTGGATGCGGAGGTCAGAGCTCTGACTGATCGGATTAACAAGCAGTTTGGGAGGGAGGGGTATCAGCCGGTGATTCTTATGGAGAGGACGGTGCCGCTGTACGAGAGGTTGGCGTTCTATACCATAGCCCAATGCTGCGTAGTGACGACGATGAAGGATGGGATGAACCTGATGCCGGCTGGGAGCGGGATCGAAGAAGAGCATGCTGGTTGTGTCGGAGTTCATCAGCTGCTCCCCCACCCTCTCAGGTGCAATCCGTGTCAATCCCTGGAACGTGGAGGCGGTCGCCGAGGCCATCAACGCGGCCATGTCACCTTGTTCAAAGGTATGTTATGGAAGTTTAAAATTGATAGAATTTGGTGATGGTCCATCACCAAATCTGAAATTTTTTTATCACTGGTGGAAATATTCATCACAGCATCTCTTATTTTGTCACTACCCGTGACTACCGGTATTTTATAAAAAAATGAAAAAAAGAGAAAGCATCTGTGGAAACGAAATCCTTCTCTCAAATTCTCTCTCAAAAATTCTCTCAAATTCTCGCAAAATTTTCTTGAATTCTCTCCAAATTCTCTAAAAATTCTCTTGAATTCTCTCAAAATTCTCTCAAATTCACCTTTCACTACCTACCTACGAACCACTACCCCTAAGAATTTGAGAGGAGAAGATAGCGTAGATTTTCCTTTTATTAAAGGTTTTGGCAAAGCTCTGCTAGCTTCTGACTTCTGATCGCGCTTATGAGTTTCTCCTTTTTTGAATTTCTTACCCATGTCAGCTTTGTGTGTACCACTCAGCCACAATGGCTGGGTTGCCGAGCCGGTTTTTTTTTTTTTAATCATCATCATCATCATTATCATCATTATTATCATCACCATCATCATCTTTTTCGATGTCTTTTTTGTTTCCTTCTTCATTTTTCATTCTTTTTCCCTTTTTATGTCCTCTCCTTTCTTCTTCTTTCTTCTTCTTCTTCTTCTTCCTCTTCTTCCTCTTCTTTTCTCTTCTTTGTCGTTCTTCTTCTTCCTTCCTCTTCTTTCTTCTTTCGTTCTGCTTTAAATCGCCTGTTCACGGTCCCAGCCTTGGAAGATTTCTTCATGGCCTGCTCCTAAGATCTCGGAGTCTCAGGGCTACCAACCACCATGGTTGGCGGCGCCAGCCAAAAACCAAAAGAAAGTGCACCGGTGGCGGTTTGGCAAAGCTTGGTGCGCAGTGCCGCACCGCCACGCCCGAGTGTACTTAAAGCCTCTCTCTTCCTGTTGCCATTTTCATGGTAGTGGAAGGGTAGGTCTGTTCGGTTAGGTGGCGGCAGATTAGATGACCAATCCTGTGGTACAGAACGTATGGCACCACAGAGATATACAGACTTTACAGCAGACATATGCAAACTCACACATCACAAGGCTACGGTCTTCACCAGCCGAATAGAACGCCCGGTCCTTATAGCCGTATTTGGGGCAACTGTCAGTCCAGATGCAGCCATTATGACGGGGCGTTCTATTCGGGTGAAGACGGGAGGACTCCAGGAGGGGGGCAAACCTAACTGCAGAATACAGATTGACGATATACATGTGCCACAGACGACAGACTGACACCTGCTGTACAGAATCGTCCAGACCTGCACAGATGGATACAGAATAAGGAACAGGTTATATACCCAGAACCACGCACACAGATGAATACAAAAGCGTGCAGAGCACAACTGTGCTAGGTAGGAGGAGGTGCTTGGGGTACACACACGAATACAAAAGCATGTGGAACACAACTGTGTTACACAGACGAACACCTAAGCATGCAGAAGACAACTGTGGTAGTGTGGCATACTGATACCACACGGGCCCCAGTTAGGGTCCGGTTCTGTAATAGGCACAGTTTAGGCCTAGGTACCAGGTCACGAGGGTCCCAGCTAGGTCCAGGTAGAACCGTCGGTTCAGTTTAAGGTCCGGTAAGCCTCGTTTAGATCCCACCAGACCGAACGGCTAGCTGTTTAGGCCAGGTACCGGTCCATCGGTAGGCCCAGGCGTCGGCGCAGTTTTGGCGCCCACTTTTGAGATTCTGAAATCGGATCTGAACCGTTGGGGTCACGACGGTCTCAGCTAGGTCCAGATAGGTCTAGGAACTGTCGGTTCAGTTTAGGGTCCGGTAGGCCTCGTTTAGACCCCACCAGACCCAACGGCTAGTTGTTTAGGCCAGGTATCGGTCCACCGGTAGGCCCAGCCGGCGGTGCAGTTTTGGCGCCCACTTTTCAGATTCCGAAATCGGATCTGAACCTTTGGGCCTGATCAACGGTCCAGACCCGAAGGACCTCAGTAGGACTGAGGCAGACCCAGCACTATATCAGCTGGGTACCAGCCTCAGTCAGTAGGTTAGTGGACAGGAGGTTAGTCTTCAAGATTAGCGAAACATTTTCAGCGTTAGCAGGATTAGCGCAGCACTGCAGCATTACGAGGAGCAGCGAGGAGAGAAGGAGCTAGGTGGCAGAGAAGAAGTAGCGCAGCATTGAGAGCAGCACCAGCCACAGGCCCAGCCCGCGGCCCAGCGCCAGCCCTTTTCAGCGCCATAGCTACCGTGACAGGTACCAGGGAGAAAGGCTTTGCCTTCTCTCCCTCATCTNTTCTTCTTCTTCCTTCCTCTTCTTTCTTCTTTCGTTCTGCTTTAAATCGCCTGTTCACGGTCCCAGCCTTGGAAGATTTCTTCATGGCCTGCTCCTAAGATTTCGGAGGCTCAGGGCTACCGAACCACCATGGTTGGCGGCGCCAGCCAAAAACCAAAAGAAAGTGCACCGGTGGCGGTTTGGCAAAGCTTGGTGCGCAGTGCCGCACCGCCACGCCCGAGTGTACTTAAAGCCTCTCTCTTCCTGTTGCCATCGAAGGGTAGGTCTGTTCGGTTAGGTGGCGGCAGATTAGATGACCAATCCTGTGGTACAGAACGTATGGCACCACAGAGACATACAGACTTTACAGCAGACATATGCAAACTCACACATCACATGGCTACGGTCTTCACCACCCGAATAGAACGCCCTGTTCTTATAGCCGTATTTTGGGCAACTGTCAGTCCAGATGCAGCCATTATGACGGGGCGTTCTATTCGGGTAAAGACGGGAGGACTCCAGGAGGGGGGCAAACCTAACTGAAGAATACAGATTGACGATATACATGTGCCACAGACGACAGACTGACACCTGCTGTACACAATCGTCCAGACCTGCACAGATGGCTACAGAATAAGGAACAGGTTATATACCCAGAACCACGCACACAGATGAATACAAAAGTGTGCAGAAAACAACTGTGCTAGGTAGGGGGAGGTGCTTGGGGTACACACACGAATACAAAAGCATGTGGAACACAACTGTGCTACACAGACGAACACATAAGCATGCAGAAGACAACTGTGGTAGTGTGGCATACAATACCACACGGGCCCCAGTTAGGGCCCGGTTCTGTAATAGGCACAGTTTAGGCCTAGGTACCAGGACACGATGGTCCCAGCTAGGTCCAGGTAGAACCGTCGGTTCAGTTTAAGGTCCGGTAAGCCTCGTTTAGACCCCACCAGACCAAACGGCTAGTTGTTTAGGCCAGGTACCGGTCCATCGGTAGGCCCAGCCGGTGGCGCAGTTTTGGCGCCCACTTTTCAGATTCCGAAATCGGATCTGAACCGTTGGGCCTGATCACCTAGGTACCAGGTCACGACGGTCTGAGCTAGGTCCAAGTAGGTCTAGAAAAAGGTCTGCTCAGTTTAGGGTCCAGTAGGCCTCGTTTAGACCCCACCAGACCCAACGGCTAGTTGTTTAGGCCAGGTACCGGTCCACCGGTAGGCCCAGCCGGCGGTGCAGTTTTGGCGCCCACTTTTCAGATTCCGAAATCGGATCTGAACCTTTGGGCCTGATCAACGGTCCAGACCTGAAGGACCTCAGTAGGACTGAGGCCGACCCAGCACTATATCAGCTGGGTACCAGCCTCAGTCAGTAGGTTAGTGGACAGGAGGTTAGTCTTCAAGATTAGCGCAGCATTTTCAGCGTTAGCAGGATTAGCGCAGCGCTGCAGCATTACGAGGAGCAGCGAGGAGAGAAGGAGCTCCGCGGCAGAGAGGAAGTAGCGCAGCATTGAGAGCAGCGCCAGCCACAGGCCCAGCCCGCGGCCCAGCGCCAGCCCTTTTCAGCGCCATAGCTACCGTGACAGGTACCAGGGAGAAAGTCTTTGCCTTCTCTCCCTCATCTTCCTCCACCGCTCTCTCTCTCTCTCTCTCCATCCCTCCTACTACCTTCTCAGTCTAAGTCTACTCCTGGGTTCTCCTGCGGGACTACTACGAGTATGAAGGATGGTTACGAGTTCTGATGACATTTGAGACAGCGACATTGGGACTGTAGGTTGAGGACTACTCTTGGGATCTGATTACATCTTCTTCTGAAGATGTACTTGACATTGTGAGATCCATATCTGAGACATTGTGGGACACTGTGTTCGCGACATTTCGGATCTTCGCTACCTCTGACATTTCAAGATACTATCTTTGGAAACATTAAGTTGACGTCATCTTCCCTCTCCTCCTCCCTTCGTCTCTCTCCTCCCTYCATTCGTCCGTGTATGATCTCAGACCCTGGCCTTTCTTCYATGWCCAASGCCAGGGCTTTCACACCACTGATGCATGATTGAGAGTGTTGGATTGCAGTCTGAGTCAGGTCGGAGTCAGTCCATGGGTATCCACTCTTCCGCTGTATTTGTATTTGTATTTGTATTAACTCTGTATTATCGGGTCGGTTCTGGGAATCTGCGCCATACTTATGACTGTGTTTCACGAGTATGCAACAGGTAGGCAGGGGGAGGTGCGTCGGGTACACAGACAAACACAAAAGCATCTGGAACACAACTGTGCTAGGTAGGGGAAAGTGCTTAAGAGAAGGGCGGTCATAGGTTAGACCTTGGGCAGATGGCCAGTAGATACTGCGTGGGGTTAGCTCGAAGCAGGGAACTGGAGGCACGGCCCCCTGACGAGATGGGCACTCTTGGGTCTACAATCTCAAGATGCTGGTAGTAATAGATTCACGCTTACCATCTTCCCCCGAATAGAACGCCCGGTAATTACTGCCGTGTCTGGACTGAAAGTTGCACCAAGTACAGCTATAATGTCGGGCGTTCTATTCAGGTGAAGACGGTAGCTCCCGAGGTAGCGTTGCGACGAGGCTCGTGCGACAGTGTGTCAACCCAGGCCGGGAGGGGTTTGCGTTCAGCGCTGGTGCCCACCCGGGCTGGAAGGGGTTTGCGTTCAGCGTGCTGGTGCCCACGACAGCTATCCGGTTAGGTCGCTCCAGTAGACTGCGGTGGTCCTCGAGTGACGTTGGATGGAGGGAGGGGGGAGTGCGCCACAAAATATTGTGAGGTGGAAGGGGGGGATCTTGCGAGGGACTGAGAAACGAGTGGCAAAAAGAGAACACACATAACCCGCCTTTGAAAACAAAAGGAGATGAAAAAACAAACAGAACGTGTGTAGCCAGCCCAGCCCATAAGAGTCATGTGGACTTGACATCATTGCCACCTTTCTTCCCAGTACACTGGCAGCTTTTTGCGAGTGCTGCACATCGTTCCCTTTGTCTTAGTAAACATGGAACGAGGGTTGCCCTCGTTGCAGTCTCACGACACAGCTCGCCGTTCCTATGTGTACCTGTAAATTGAAATGAGGGTTGCCCTCGTTACATGACTTAACCCACCACATCCCACGACCCAAGCTGACAACAGCCATGCAGCACCTGTAGGACTAGGAACATCAAACACTCACGTGTTTTGTGCCGACGACAGCCATGCAGCATCTGTATGAGGTCAAAGCACATCCCACAATTAGTAACGTGAAACGAGGATTGCGCTCGTTATTATGGGACTTAGCGCAAAATCTAACGACACGAGCTGACAACAGACATGCATTGCCTGTACGTGTTTGAAGCGTCGAAGTAAATCCCAACTCTTACGAGCAGTTTCTTCGTATGTCAAGTGATGGTAATGATTTGCGCTTCGTACCGACTTAAACCACATGTTCATGTTCGGCTGCTTGTGAAGGCGCCTGCCCCTCTTCTTCTTCCGAACAGAGTCTGTCCAGAGTGGTTGAAGACACTCGCCAGCATCGAAACTGCATGACATGGGGCGACTTCCTGAGTGGAGTCATCCATCATGAGGTGAGCACTGGGAGTTATGGAGTAATGACTCTACGCTCCAGACTACCGCGGATGTGCACACCTCTGATGATCGCACGACTCAAGTGAGATGCGAAGATGGTCCTGTTTGAGGCCATAAGTTACCTACGTCTCAACGACGCTGCATCAGGCATATACATGGACGGTAAGCCATGGCTGAATCGGTCCTCGCTATCAATAGCAAGCCTGAGGCTCTGGCCGACGCTTTGAGAAAAGCACCATGATATTACAACGGAGGCCACAGCTGAATCGGTCCTCGCTGTCCATAGCAAGCCCGAGGCTCTGGCGGAGAGTGAGAGAAAATCAGGCCCATATTACCGTGGAGTGGCTTACTCTTCACGAATACGCCTGCAGCAGCCTCCGTGAGACGTAAGTACCTTAATGGCCCCGCATGGGAGCGGTTTCACATATCAATTCCATTGTGGCATCATAGCAAGGACACCTCCATTGCCACAACGGAAGTGATATGTGAAACCGGTCCCATTCGGGGCCGTAAGTTACCAACTTATGTCTCAAGGAGGCTGCTACAGGCGTATGCGCGAATAGTAACCAGCGGCTGAAGCAGTCCTCGCTGTCAATAGCAAGCCCGAGGCTTATGAGACCGACACTTTCGAGTGGTGGTGGTTCCGGTAGCAAGATGCTTAGCGCACAGTTGTACCTTCTCTCACTGTGAACATCTCCTACCATCTTTTTTTCTTTTTCTTTTTCATTCTTTTTTTGGTTCTTAACCTAGACTACCAGCCGGGCCGCCCAGGTCACCCTTTTTTCCCGGGCGGCCCGACCATGCAAGGGCCAAGCAAGGTCCCAGCAAAAAAAAAAACATCCGGAAAAAAACTATGTCATGCAGAAAAATAACCTGAACAACTTCTGCCTCAGGGTCACATTGAAATTCTTTGTAAATTTTAAAATAAATAAAAAATAAAAAGATTTTTAATTTTTATTTTTTTATCTTTTTTGGCCTGGCTGGGCAAGTGGTCCCCGGCCACTCTGGTAGCCTAGTTCTTAACTTCGTAAGGCTTCTCTTTTTTTTTTTTTTTTTTTGAAAGGCTTATCAAGCTCCCATCTATTCGTGGGGAGCAGCACGTGCTGGGAATCGGGCCCAGTGTCGCTTTCTGAAATTTACATCTGAGCCTCGTGCAAATGGGCCACGGTGCCTACAAGGAGTTCATAGTACCAGACTCCAACACATGCAAATGGGCCATGGTGCCAGGAGATCCCCCATCCACCCTGGGGAGTGCCACTGCTTAAATCTCCTCGGCTGCCTTTCCAAGTGCTTGGATGTGTGTGCTCTGCACCGCATGTCCACACACAGGTGGTTAGCTTAGAGCGTACTCACACTAGGCCGTCCGGCAAACTCGCAAAATCACAAAATGAGCGCCCAGATCGAGTCCTTGTAAAGGAACAACTGGATCTGGCCACTCATTTTGGGATTTTGCGATTTTGTGGCTCTAGTGTGATTGTGCCGTTAGTGTATTTACTATTTACGTCTTAGTCCAATCACATAACTCAGGCGTCAGGACTTGCAATGAACCTGGGATTTGGGAACTATGCTGCTGTGCGCTTGCCCAGACATCCTGCCAGGCGAAGCTGCAGAACAGGCCTACTGGTGTCTATATGTCGCTCAAAACTGGGACGAGTTTGCGCACAGGTTTTATACAGATATTGCAGGGACTCTCTGACTGTGTTGTCGACTTACTAGATTGTCGCTGGCCTTAAATTGTCGCTGGCCTTAATGTCGATCCTGTGAAATGTCCCTCCACAAAGTGTCGCCGATTGACTGTGTTGTGTTATATAGATATCGTAGGGACTCTCTGACTGTGTTGTTTCTATATGTCGCAAAACTGGGAAGGGGTTTTTCACACAGGTTGTATTAAGATATTGCAGGAACTGTCCTTCGGGACATCCGTTAAAATTGGAACGATAGTTATGGTTCAGAGAAGGGTAAATTAGCAAATGGCTCCTATGTGCAAGGATGGATGACATCATGACACACATAAATCGAGAAATGGTAAAAAAGAAACCTTCGTATCCTGTTGGTAACTTGTTAGACCATTGCTAGCGCCCTAATGTGGAATGATGCCTGTGGCCATTTGCATGCTAGCCACAGGAAGGTATGGCATACTGGCTGCGGGGGGCGGGGGGGGGGTTGTGAAGGGTTGTGGCGGAGGGGGGGCTACCGTCTTCCCCCAAGCATAACACATGCGTTGTATTCGAGTTTTCAAAAACAAAATCGATGATTTGAATAGAACGCATATGCATTGCATTCGAATATACCAGCTGTTCGAATAGAACGCACATGTATTGTATTTGGACAAAAAGCAACCTATACCTTGTATTTGTTTACAACACACATGCGTTATGTTCAGGAGAAGACAGCAGTCGCAGAGCCCAAAATTTTAAGTGTGGGACTTGGCGAGCAATTTCTCAATGCTCATCCTATTTCTCAAACGAATCTGAGAATTTTCAAAAAAGCAGGAATGTTTCCCCCTTTTCTTTCCCTTCTTTCCTGTACATCGCTTTTAAATGGTGACAATAGGAAGAGATTATCACACAAATGCTAAGTGTGGCGTCGTTGTGGCTTCGGTCGCACAAATGCTGAGTGTGGCTTCATTGTGGCTTCTCGGTTAAACCACCGGTACACCCGCCTCTTTTTCCCGATGCCGATTTCTGGCGCGGTGAGGTTCTGCTGAACTAACGTGGGCTCAAAATCGCATCTGTTTGCCTGGTGTCGCCAGCCTTTTCCGTGTAGTAGGCGGTCCCCCAACAATGCGGGGCGTTAATTGCTWTGCYGTAACAAAGTATCTGCRAGATGTACTGGTGGTTCAATTCTTTYATGCTGTGACCTTAACATTGTCTTGTCTAATGCTCCTGTTCAACTCATCACACCTTGGAGCTGGCCTATTCAAGATGCAAAACTCAGATTGGAGGCAATGCCATCAGTCCTTGCTCGAGGAAGAAGTAGATGAGAGAAAAAGGAGCAACAAGACAGGGATATTCGGAAGAAGAAGAAGAAGAAGGAGAAGCAGCAGACGAGCCAGAAGGAGAAGCAGCAGCAGCAGCGGCAGCAGAAGCAGAAGAAGAAGAAGCAGAGGAAGGAGAAGAAGCAGAGGAAGAGGGAGAAGAAACAGAGGAAGACGACGACGACAATGACGGCGACGAAGAAGAAGAAGAAGAAGAAGGAGAAGGAGAAGAAGAAAGAGAAGAAGAAGGAGAAGAAGAAGGAGAAGGACGAAGGACAAAGGAGAAGAAGCAGAGGAAAAAGAAGACGACGACGACGACGACGACGAAGAAGAAGAAGAAGAAGAAGACGAACACAAGGATACTCTGACATATCTCTCCTTGCACACTTGCTACCTCTTTGTCTCCTGCAATAACTACTACTGATTGTTAATCAGAAATCAATTGAATAGTAATGAAGAAGGGATCAATGTTCGATGAATCTCCCCTCGCCACTCTGGAGAAAGAACCTTTCTTTGGCTCTCTATCGCTCTCCTCTCAACTCCAATAGCACTCCCAAAAATGCTGTTCAGCTCACTCTTATGCGGGACGTACAAAGGACAATGCCTTCCACTACCTTCCCATCAACTACCCATCGGAATCCGTCACTCTTGGTGAAGCCTCTGTCCAACCGGAAAACTCCAAGGGGTCCTCTTGGTATCAGCACAAATTAATGTAGTGGAGATGATAGTCCCCACCATAGCCAAAGGTTAGACTTGGGTTCGGTGGCCTCCTTTCTCCTTCTCCGCTTTTGCACCATTGTACTAGGCGACGAGAGTGGCCCGGGACCACTTGCCTGGCGGGGCCAAAAAAATAAAATAAAATATGTATATGGGGTGTGAGCCGACAGTCTGTAGAGTTTTCCATCTGGTGTGGGTGAGTGAGTCTGCTTTGATTTTCATCACGGGTACCTTGAGGGCAGTGGTTGGTGCCCACCTCAAGGTATTAGTTGTC